ATTTAGGAAAATGGGAAATTGGGAAATTGGGAAATTGGAAAATTGAGGAATGGGGAAAATGAGAAATTGGGAAATTGAGAAATTGGGGAATTGAGAATTTGGAGATTTGAGAAATTGGGAAAGTGAGAAATTGGAAAATTGGAAAATTGGGAAATTGGGAAATTGGAAAATTGGAAAATTGGAAAATTGGAAAATTGGGAAAATGGGAAATTGGGGAATTGGGGAATTGGGGAATTGGGAAAATAAAAAATTGGGAAAATGAGAAATTGGGGAATTGAGAAATTGGGAAACTGAGAATTTGGGAAATTGAGAATTTAGGAAAATGGGAAATTGGGAAATTGGGAAATTGGAAAATTGAGAATTTGGGAAATTGAGGAATGGGGAAAATGAGAAATTGGGGAATTGAGAATTTGGAGATTTGTGAAATTGGGAAAGTGAGAAATTGAGAAATTGAGAAATGGGGAAATTGGAAAATTAGAAAATTGGAAAATTGGGAAATTGAAAAGTTGGAAACCTGGAAAATTGGAAAACTGGAAAATTCGAAACCTGGGAAATTGAAAAATTAATAATTGAAATTCAGAAAATTAAAAATTTTGTCATAAATTATTATATCTCCTAACAAAGTTGCAAAAAGAATAGACATAATATTTAAATTCTTAGCCATAAGTTAAGTTCATTACACAACTACGTTAATTACACTACTAAACGTTACTACAAACTGACATATTACATGTAAAAGTTCATTGGTTATAAAGATAACAATGTAAAAATGACAGCAAAGTAATAAAGATAACAATGCAACTTATACAACGTTATTATTCAAACATTTTTGGTCGGTCTACAGATAAGGCAAGGATTAAACATGAGTCATAAAGCCGCGCCAATGATTACCAAATGCTTCGATGTTCTTACACAGCAGAATCGATATCACACAAATCATAAAAACAGTCCACATTACAAATACTAATTACTGTAACAAAATTATTACACTTATCAAGCACAAAAAACAAAATCGAGTCTCAAACTCACCGTCGGTAAGGTTATACCATCTGTTCATAACTGCAACAGCAGTAAACGAACCATTATTACAAACGATAAGATAAGTTCCTAATCTTTTTCTAATGAAATATGGAAATCGACAAGAATATTGTCAAAATCATCTATATGGAAATTCATACGAAACATGAATTCAAATGTGGTTAACGCAAAGCTCTATGAAATTTAAATGTTACATTTAAATTTAAATTCTCAATTTACATATTAAATTAAATATATCGTGTTTGCATTATAATTTGCTGTACAACGAAGGTAATTTCTAAAATTAGTTAATTAACGTTAATTATTAATTTTAGAGATCATTTTAATTTTTGAAGAATTTGTAAACCTTTACAGACGTTAATTATTAATTTAAGAGATTATTCTAATTTTCAAAAAATTTGTAAACTTTTGCAATGTGAAAAATTGAAAAATTGGGAATTTGGGAAATTGGGGAATTGGGAAAATAAGAAATTGGGAAAATGAGAAATTGGGGAATTGAGAAATTGAGAAACTGAGAATTTGGGAAATTGAGAATTTAGGAAAATGGGACATTGGGAAATTGGGAAATTGGAAAATTGAGAATTTGGGAAATTGAGGAATGGGGAAAATGAGAAATTGGGAAATTGAGAAATTGGGGAATTGAGAATTTGGAGATTTGAGAAATTGGGAAAGTGAGAAATTGGAAAATTGAGAAATTGGGAAATTGAGAAATTGGAAAATTGAGAAATTGGGAAATTGAGAATTTGGGAAATTGAGAATTTGGGAAATTGAGAATTTGGGAAATTGAGAAATTGAGAATTTGGGAAATTGAGAAATTGGGAAACTGAAAAATTGGGAAGTTGGGAAATTGGGAAATTGGGAAAATGGGAAATTGGGAATTTGAGAATTTGGGAAATTGAGAACTTGGGAAATTGAGAAATTGGGAAATTGGGAAGTTGGGAAATTGGGAAAATGGGAAATTGAGAAATTGGGAATTTGAGAATTTGGGAAATTGAAAATTTGGGAAATTGAGAATTTGGGAAATTGAGAAATTGGGAAATTGAGAATTTGGGAAATTGAGAATTTGGGAAGTTGGAAAATTGGAAAATTGGAAAATTGGAAAAAGGGAAATTGGGAAGTTGGAAAATTGGGAAATTGGAAAAATTTGTAAACTTTCACAAATTTTTAATAACTATATAATCAATTGTAAAAATACAATTTAAATATCTCACAAAAATTAAAAATATTAGTAACAAAAAGTATTTCAGTGACAACATCCTTGTCGACAAAATCAAGTTCACATACCATCCTGATAAGTGCTCTTCATCGCCTCGTCTATGAACCTGTCGTGCTTTATTGCAGTCCGGTAGGCATCCGGCGAGTACGTAGGTTCCCTCAATATTATTAGCGTTATAGACAAACAAAAAACCAGAGCGACCAGTATAAACCATTTCTGCCTCCAAACCGATCTGAGACAATAGATAGGAACACATTCGTAGCACCGGTTACACATTTTTTAAAATAGCAACAAGTTGACAGCACGCGTGGTGGACTAGTGATAACCACGTTCTAGGAAAGGCCTCACCAAACTGAATGTCCCACGAAACGTCTACCTATTCTTGATTGAACAAATATATCGGTCCCTGATTGCATATCACGTATCGATAACGTAATTTCGTAACGATAACGATTCAACGATATCCTGCGTTCGACTATCGTTTTAAAAATGTCCATTGCTTAGGAATAGATCAGTGATTACATTCGTAGTCAAAGATTAATATCGATGATAACAGCTGTTATAACTAAACTGTTTGCGAGACACGCGGAAACCATAATTAATATTCAAATACCAATTTTTAAGTCCACCTGGCAAATTAATAGAACTGGAAAGTTTTCGTGAGGTTATATTAAGTGTCAGTCTTGACCGCATTTAACGTTAATTGTTCGACCATACAAAATTTGAGGCCACCGGTGGACCCCACGCGTTCAATTTTCTTCACACACGTATACACACACGTCTTTTCATTTCTTTTATGCACGTTTTTTTACTGGGTTAACTGCAGGACGATATAAAGCAGTGCACCGAATGACACGATTTGAATTAAATAAGACTGCACGGTAATTTTACACCGGACACCTATTCTATCGTGTGGACGAACTGTACACACACGACACCACACGTTTAAATTTAGTTTTAACGGTACTACGATATAGGCATGTGCTTACGAAATGTTTATGTGCCTATTTTGAGTGAGTATTCGTGCGAATTTTGACTGAAACCGGAATCGAAACTAGGAGCCGAGAAGTAGAAGAAAATGAGGAGTAGAGAGCAGTCTCTCTTTCGATGAACTGGAAGTAATGAATATTGGCCTATTATGCTGACGCAGACGCATGTTCAAGGCTATGTTTATCGCTAGACGAAATAGGCACGTGCCTAGGGCCCATTAAATAGGGACCCGTATTACTTCATAACTTTACAGTAACTAACACACGTCAATTCTTTAAAATAATTTAAAACATCTTCTACAGAATATTTTTTTCATCACAATTATATTAAGTAAAATATGTCTTACCTTATAGCCTTCAAAATCATTTTCTGTTTCAGTACTGCCTACCATATAAGTATTTTACAATACAGGTACAATGCACCTCAACTATTGATGCTTAAAATATCTTATATCGATTTACCTTCATGTTATACCCTCATAATATGAAATTGCAATAATATAAAAATAGAAACATAACATATGAAGTTGAAACAATAGTGAACAACGTTCTCGTGTTTGTCTAAGAAATTCTACGACCTTCATTTGCATATCAGAGACTGAAAACATCTGGCGCAGTTCTAACACACCTCCTTCACTTTCGAGTTATCCTATTACATTACATTTAGCTCGCAGTACAAACCGCACGTTCAGGTTGATCCAATTATTAATTCACGCGTAGAAGATGTTAATAAAAAATTTTTACACGGTTCTAGGTTACCTCCTACACTTTACGACGATCTGTAGAAACACTTACTGATTGTGCATGTCACACGATTTGAAATATCCACATCCCGGAAAACATCATGTTAGATAACCATTAGGTTGTTTTTTATTTTTGTGAAGTAGTTTGACAGCTTCTTTTTCGTATGATTCTTGAAATGCATATTTGCGCGCGCGGTATTCTGAAATTGTACTGCCAGCGCTATCCAGCGGTGAGTGGTGGAACTTGTAAAATAGAAAATTGCGTTTATCTTCGAAATTAATCATTTTTACGCTTTTCCGAGGTGAATAGATTAACCTACGACCTTAACAAAACCGAATTAATGTCATAATACTGTACTAAATGCGTCAAAAAAGAAAATGAAAAATTTGGCAATTCCATGGACCAAAAAAAGCCTAGCCATCTAGCGGCGAAAGGCAGGAACTAATTCTGCTAGGTGGCGTAGTATTACAGCTTTAAAATAGCGCGCGAAAATTTGAGTGTATAAAGGTGTATGAATAAAAATCGAAAAATATCTTAATGGAATTAAGAAGAGGGCTAACAGTTATTAAAAATTATATTTTCCAAGATGTCCATATCAGATTATACGATGATTAAAGTTGTCTTTTTGCAACCATACTCCTTTTTGTAACATTAAGATTAAATCGCTTATAAACGAAAGCGAAAGTTCGTCGAAAATATAAACTCAGACAAAAATACGAAGATCGATATTGTGAAAGAACTATAACAAAGAAGTAATCTTCTTTGATCAGTGCCAAAATTATTATGTTTTGATATAGAAGATGCTGCAAACTGTTTTGTATACCATCCAATTCATCAGAGCGCAGAAGCACAGCGTAGCAGACAACTCCGTGACGTGAGTGTGTGCTGCAGGGTGCAAAATGTTTCGTTCAATCATGTTTTCACGTAAGTTTTCTTAAATTAATATTAAAATACATTAAATATTTCAATTCATTTATATTAAATACAATCATGAACATAATTATCTGCATCGATTTCTTGAATTCAGTAAATTTTTTTCCGAAATACATTGATACATTCTCTATATATTTCACTCGTTACTCTATTTTGTAGTCTATTCTCATAGTTTCTATTGCATAAGATCCGGCAATTTGAACAAACTAAATTAATTGTTCTCGTCGAATTATTCTATTGAGTGTCAGTCGATATTGTATCATATAGTATTTATAACCTTACGAGTGAAAATAAATTATCAGCAATGTTGAAAGGTGATACTTTTTTAATACAAATGAATGGACAAGTTCTTACTTTCAACAAAATTTAATTAATAACCTATTCCGTTATCATATTTATATTTTATCATTTTTAGCCACTATCAATCAGGGGCTCGTGTCCCTGATACGTAATAACATAGCATTGAGTGGATCTCCTGGATCTTTAGTATGTCAGGCCAAACAAATAGCCACAGATACAAGCAACCAACAAAAGGATGTTGCACTACCAAGCAAAACTGAAAAAATACCTTATAGCCCTTTCCAAAATACCAAGAGCATGGGAGAATATGCAATGGCAAGATTAGATGATTTGTTAAATTGGGGTCGTAAAGGATCCATATGGCCCCTGACATTTGGTCTGGCCTGTTGTGCTGTTGAAATGATGCACATTGCTGCTCCTAGATACGATATGGACAGATATGGTGTTGTATTCAGAGCATCTCCGAGGCAAGCTGATGTTATCATAGTTGCTGGTACTTTAACAAATAAAATGGCTCCAGCATTAAGAAGGATATACGATCAAATGCCTGAACCACGATGGGTAATTTCTATGGGAAGCTGTGCTAATGGTGGTGGTTACTATCATTACAGTTATTCTGTTGTCAGGGGCTGTGATAGAATTATACCTGTGGACATATATGTGCCAGGTAATATTCCATACTACACTTAATACTTATACCTAGCTAGTATGTTATTCAGATATACATGTAACAATTTTTCAGGATGTCCCCCAACGGCAGAGGCTTTAATGTATGGCATTCTTCAATTACAGAAGAAAGTCAAACGTTTCCAGACTGCACAGGCATGGTACAGAAAGTAATTTAAATGTACCTGATAATTGTAGCAATATATAAATAATGATTTTATAAGGTTAAATGTAATTAAGAGGAAAAATGAAAATATGAACTATTATAAATAGGAATTAAAGTTAACATAACTTTAAAATGGCTAACTTATTATACAACCTTTTTTTTTTCTAAGACTTGTTTATTTTTCAAGGACTTTATCATTATGTACAGCCACCAAACAATACATATAAATACTACAAATAAAAAACCTAAAAGTGATAATATTAATTTTCGTAATATAGTATTCTTGTTTCGTTAATAATAATTACACAAAACCGATATCTTTACAGGCATATAATTCGTTATAATTCTCTCTGTTTTATTCTTTATTATTTTTACTATTTAAAATATTTACAATATTTTAATTTAAAAACAAAGCAAAGAGTTAGATCAAAACATCTTTGCGAATAGCTTACCACGTATTAAGGCCCCTTTAATTTTTATTTTCGCATATTGCTCTATCTAATACTACTTGCGAGTGTGTTTATTTTAATTATACATTACATACATACACTGTTTAATAAAAACACATCAACTGATACGCACCACGCATACGATAGGTACGATATTTTTTTTTTAACGTACTGTAACCTATTGTACCTATCAGTTTAACTTCTCATGTACACGGGTACACTTTTATGAACATACTGTATTTCTGTTGTGTCCACAGCCCGAATTTTAAACGTCTACTTTGGTCATTGAAAAGCATAGTACGCTGGAAACATTAATATTTTCATGACAAAATCATTCTAATATTTTCCCATTGATTTATATTTTCTCACAAGGTTTCTTTTCAATTTTATTCAAATCTCTGTTTTAACGTATAAATTATTAGTTTCTGAAGTATGTACATGTATAGTATTTCCTATCCGTATCATATCAAATTTCTGTACCGCAATAATTTTATCAGTCTCAGTTTAAAGCCTAATTGCCAACGTGCTATGTAAACCTAAAAAAGACGTATAAATTATAAAGTTAAAAAATTATATGAATAAAGTCGACGTATGACGTGTAACATTAATATTAACTTTATCTTATTATATTTGAGGTGTCACATAATTTCTTGTATATAGCAAATTAGATACGAACGCAAATTAAATAAAAAAAAATACGTACTTTTCGTTTTTATAAAATATAAAATTCTTGATATTTCGATGTATCTTTAAATGTGTTCCTCGATTTAAATATAAGTAACGTATACTCAACTTCTGTAATATCAAAATCTATTATTTCTATAACATAAATTAAAATGTTCTGTCGATTTCAAAATAGCCTTTGTGCAGTGGTATGATACCTATATTGAAAAATGCACCTGATTCTTATTTCACACGCGTCATTTCAATATTCGGAGCGATAGCACTGCCATTCTTCTTTTCCTCTGTGCAGGTGTACACATACGGGAGAAAAGAAGTTTATAATTTACAATTTACAAAATAATAAAATATATCGATATTTTTTACATATGTTCAGTTTTTGCGTATCTCTCTGACATAAAAAATGACTACAATAAATTGTTTGTACAAACCTATATATAAAGATTTTTTAGATAATTGAAACTATTCAAATAATAAATGACGGATTTGGATATTAGTTAATATCCATGTTGAACGATTAAATTCACTATTTTTGATCTTGATCGCAATTTACTTTTCCGTTCTTCAGCACGATTCGTGCTCCTGTTTTTTAACTATTACCTGATATTTTGATATTTATTTGATGACCCGGCAACAAAATTGTACAAACCTAACATACTTCTGTGCTTCGCTAAATTTACACGTTTTGAATGGATAAACATTTCTAATATTAAAGAATGGCTTGTGACGTGGATGGTGGTGGATTACTCGGTAAAGCAGGCACAGGCCCATCAGTCCATTGTATAAGAGAATGCTCGCCCATTTGTGTACTTTGGAAATGATCTTTCAACAGCGTTTGCGAAAAAGTGCAGTGCATTTGATACGCTTCACTTTCACGATTCGGATCTCCACAAATTCTGTACAAATCTGCAATAAAACATTTGTTCAAAAACCGAAAACTTCTTCTTCGTACATGCATCGGAATACGCGTATACCTTTCAAGATAGCAGTAGCCCATAACTGTACATGAACATCAGGTATTTTAGAAGCTAGTTGCATAGCAGGTGTAACCATGTTCATGGATTCTCTGCTATTTCCCAAAGAAAGAAATATGTGACCCAAAAGCACTAGGCTACACGACGTGAGTCTATTCAAATCTTCAGAATTGGCCATTTTCAACGTTTCTCGAAGATATCTCCTATAAATTCATTCAAATATTATAATGCTTATAATATCTCGTTAATGCCAGTAACGATTCATACTTTGCTTCGTTGTATCTTGCTCCAAAAAATGCTTGAAGTCCTTGAACATAATATGCGGCTGCTCTCAAAGAATGTGAATGCGATGGTAAAGATTCGGGATTTATCCGTTCGAGCAAAGCACCTAATTCTGCGTCCCTTTTCGTTCTAAGATACACTATTGCCAAATTTAAATTCGCAAAAGTCCAAAGTTCTCTTTCTTGTGATGTCTGCGGATGAAAATGTTTCAAAATTCTGAAGCAATCTTTTACCCTTCTTACAACCCTATCATCTTACTCGTAGAGCAGCTGTAAACTGTGCCTCTGCCGCTTCCATGCAGTTCATCGACATTGCATACAACCCTAATAAGGCGTGCAATTGGGGTCTGTGACCTTGAAGTAACCTTGGTTGTCTTCTACAAAGTTGACAAGCTTGAGAAATTTCTGCAAGAGCTACGCTCTTATTTCCCATCACGAGTCGACACATCACTATGTGCTCCAATAACATGAGTTGAAAAACAGAAAGTATGGGCTTATTATCAACAACTGCAAAGTAACGTAAATAATAATTTAACTACCGAATTATAGCGGAACGGCGAATGAATATTGTATTATATCTACTTTTGAGTTTTTCAATTTGAGTCAATGCTTTATCCGTATATTTTTGAGCCTTGTCCATATAACCAGCCTGCATAGAATGCATAACTGTTACTAAATAAACCAGAACATATAAATGATCCTTTGGCATCCATATAAACATGTCCCCAATATTTGAACCTGTGACTACATCATCTGCTGGCCAACTAGGAGACATAATGGTCTGTATACTTTGTTGCAACTGTTTCAAACAAGGCTTAACACTTTTAACCTATTTAATACATGTATATGTGAAATGAGTTTCAGTCAATTTGTTAAGTAATTAGATAAGATGTATTTCACTTACCTGACCTGCCATTAAATAATGACAGACTTGAAGTACCAAAAAATAGACTTTTAAATATTCTTTTTGGTGTGGACTACCCTGCCAATTTTCAACATGATGTCCTGCCGAATTTAAAAGGGGATGAACTTCGGTAAATTTTTTGTCTATCAATAAAAGCATACACCTGCTCAATAAGAATAGGACACGAGTGTAACTTGCATTGCTGATATGAGAATAATCAACACCTACTGCAAGTAAACTACTAGCTGCCACAAAATCTTTTTCTGATGCGTGTATTTGCTGCAATGTACAAATTCCAAAATTATTTAAAAAATACTTAAATATCAAGATTACTTAAAATCATTTGTAACTTACTGCGAGTTGAAAAATAAGTCTACAATGCCAATATACATTGTGCTGAGATAATTCTATGGCTTTTCTTAATATTGGCTTACTGAGATTTGGTTGCTGTTGTTGTTCGTACAGTTCTGCGACAACGCTTGCTGCCTCAAATTTTACATCATCAAAAGTGTTTATGTTCTGACTTAACCGCCACTGAAAATCAATATTAAAATTGTAAACTCATCGTTAAATTACATGGTTTCGATTCAACTATCATTGAATTGAGTTCACTAACACCCATTGATCTTTAACCACTTGGCATGTTGTATTACCGACAGTACCAAAATAAAAAGAAAGGTTAGAATCACGATCGAAAGAAATACGCAGATATACGCAAGCTACATGATAATGATGAAAGACCAAGGTAAAAAATAACGAATTCAAGTAATTACAACGTAAATAATGTTTCAACTGACCGCTTGTTCTAAATGAGATCGCGCCAAATCGATGTTTTTGGTATGCGTAAGAAGAATGTTACCAAGTTGTAGATGAGTACGCGCTTCGACCCTTGGAGGCGGTTTAAAATTGAAAACCGCTTGCAAGCATTGTATGCACGATTTAATATTCGGCGGATTCGAGGTCCGAAAGTTTTCTGCTAATCCTAATAACGACAGATACCAAGCGTCCTGCGAAGACGCCATTTTGACATTTCACGAGTAAAAACTCCAGCCGTGATAACACACGGTCACTGCCTCCACACTAACAACTTCGTTACACTGGTAATAAAATCGTGTCACTTTCCTAAATAGCGAAATCACGATCGCGACTCGATTTACAATTTCTTCGTGTCCCGTTGAATACGTTTCCCCTGGAAACCGCTTATTGCGTAATGTTTACATACATATGTAACACGACATTTTTTTACATTATTGCTTCACATTTTTACGTGCACGTACGAACTATCCAGTTTCGCGTACACGAATGATCAATTTTTTGAAACCGGGACAAACTCAAGTAGACTTCGACATTATTCATCATATTATTTTCTATTTACAATGACAATAAACTATTCATCTTCGTTAGAATCGTCATACTGGTACGGTCTAGGGAAATATTTTTCTAATCTTGGCGCGGTGAATGTGAGTTCTAGATTGATTGAAGTTTGGAGATGCATTTTAAATAGGTTGTTTTGAATAATTGTTAGTTATTGATTTAAGAGGATTTTTAGTTGTTATCAATGTTTATATGAAAGAAATAAAATTTATGGAAAAGGGAATGTGTTTGAAATTTATTCCCTAGATTTCAGGGAGTACGTCACAATCACGTGACGTAGGTTTTACCGCGGGTTCCTTTATTCAATTCGAATAGAGTTTATTACACTACTGACCTATTAAACTTACATAATTTGTATGTAAGTTATGAAAGTTATGATAATTTACGTGTAACGAAACTTCGATCGTTCGTGCGAAACGAGTAAGGTTATTACAATGAACGCCGCGAATATCGCAATTAAATTTAGGAATTAGGAAAGCGTAGATTTTTAAATTTGGTGATTCGCTAACTCGGGAATTCGAAAATCTCCTCATATCTAAATTTGAAATCTCTGCGTTATTAATTTGAATATCGCGACCTCTAAATGAAACGGGTATCGTGCACGACGGTATCGCGATGTGGGATATCCCCTCCAGAAAGTAAAACGACGGAGAAGTCGTGTCGATGCGCTTCTCCGTCTACCTGGTCCCCAGTCGCGATTTCAAATTATCCAGTACGAGGTGTGAGCTTTTTCCGTCGCGCGTTACGAGCGTGTTTTCCACCAACACGGCGATTATGTGTCCTCGCGTTTCGTTGTTGTTACTTTGCTCGTTCCTGTTGTTCGTCGGTCACCGATGCGAGGAAAATGTCACCAGTGCGACCGAGGAGAACGCGTTGGCGAAACTGGTGAAAATGTTTTCGAAGCCCGGAGCGTTCAAACGAGTGAGCCTCCAAAAGAAAATAAACGCTGTTACATTCGAAAGTGATTAAAGGGAAACTTCTACGCAGTGCAACTATTCTTTCATTAATTACAACCGGTTGTCACTTAATTAACGCTTAAACTGGATTTGGATTTTTTTTTAAAATCAGGTCATTCTATAATTTCTATGTTTTAACTTTGACATTACACAAAATATTTGGTAATGAAAAATATAGAGAGACATTGACAATGATCTGGTACAAAATTCAGACAACTACGTCGCTGTTTAACTTTGTCAAACTTGATCAAAAATTTAACTACGTCAAAAATTTGAGAACACATGGTACAAAAGTAATGGGACACATATGTTTGAAAATATTTTAGCGAGACATTAAGAATGATCTAATAAAAAATTCAGACAACTACGTCGCTATTTAACTTTGCCAACTTGATCAAAAATTTAACTACGTCAAAAATTTGAGAACACATGGTACAAAAGTAATGGGACACATATGTTTGAAAATATTTTAGCGAGACATTAAGAATGATCTAATAAAAAATTCAGACAACTACGTCGCTATTTAACTTTGTCAAACTTGATCAAAAATTTAACTACGTCAAAAATATCAGAACACATGGTACAAAAGTAAGGGACACATATGTTTAAAAATATTTTAAGATTGTATCTACTGAATTGCTTATAAAATAAACAGATGCATCTTGTAATTCAAAGGAAGAGTCCCCATCGATTCATTACTAAAAGTACCGGCTCCGTTGCGTAACAAAAATTGTAATCGAAGAACGTTCGCGTACGCAGTGTTCTGGAACGGTTGCGCGATCTTAAATCCGTAATAACAACGTGGATGTAGTAATTTTCCCTTTAATAAAACTTACTAATAATTCTGGTACAAAGAGCAATTTGTTAGTCGGTAATAGAAGAATTTAATTAGGTTTGACGCTTTTAGATAAACGCGATATTGGGCGAAAATTCCATCGAGGAGTCTTCCGCGTCCTGTCCAAAGGGGGAGGAGGGTCTCGAGTGTAGGAGGGCCGAGGCGAGGAGATCCGTCGACTGTCCGCAAGGTAAATTTTTTTGGAGAATCTGGAAAATTATGAAATTAGGGAATTTGGAAGAAAGTTGAAAACTTGAGTTTCGATATTGAGGGAATTCTTACCCTTCGCGTTTTCTTCCGTTTCTCTATGGAAAACAGAAACGCACAATGCAGATGGTAACCTTGACATAGCCGCTCCCAGACATTGTTTGCCCACGTTAAATGCAGCGTATCGCGTGCAAGAATGTTAATCTATGAAGTTAATGTCTGATCGAAGGATCGGTGCATCGCTATCTAATAAGGCCGTGTTTCACCATCGAATACTGGATGCTTTCGAATATTAATGAAACCTCAGCTATACATTGTGAATGCAAAATGTTAAAAATTCTACAATTTACAATTCTTCCAAATATTAAATTTGTATACCTTTCTTGCTAGCGCAATCTTCCTTTCGATTCCTTAACCCATTTAACTTGCATAAGACATTCTTCGCAGCCCATTAGCGTTCTGGAAACCACCTCAACAGGTGATCTTCCAATTCTCTCGAGCGGCGTAACATTAACCCCTTCGCGGTTGAAGGATATTCTGACGGTACACTTTCACCGACGATTTCAGTCCGCTCAATATTTCTCTTAAAAATAATTGAAACGTATATTAGAGCTAAGTGCATGCGGCCGTATAAAAACGGTAATCAGTTAAATGAACCATCGATGCTAATCGAGATCGATCGATTGCATCGTGTCTTGTAATTTACCGTCGATCTAACGGGACTCGGTAATAAATTACTTTTCCCGGAACCGCGAATCGCCTTGAAGATGCGAAAATATTAACCCCTCGAATACAGTGACCTCGCGCTTTCACTACTGATGGCTTTAGAATGTCCACGATTTTCCTCTAAAATTCTCATTCTTTAATGTTATACGAAAAATCTAAAAGGCAACACAAAGTATGGAAAATTCGTGTTAGATGACAAAGCGTACTGTAAGTTGCTAAACAGAGATTTGCATAAAAATTCTAGAGAAAGTACAGAGAATATGTACTTCAAAAGGATACCGTTATAAGAGATTTAAAAAAGGAAGGAACGCGTTTGTTGTCGCATCTGACAGATTAGCGGCGCGCCTCGATTCTAGACCAGTTTGCACATGAAAAATACGCACGTGCGGCGTACATGACACCCGATACGCTTTACCTCTATGTTCCTCTTGCTTCCCCTTTAGTATTACGCTCGTTACGCTTAACGTAAGGCATCAAGTGTCTCGCGAGTGATGCAAGCGCACGCGTGTAACGGAATCGTGATGGATTGTGTTCTCGAGGAAGAGAGAGAGTAAAGAGAAAAATCAAAGAATGTATAGCAAAGTATTATATATTAATTTAATAACTCTTTTTTTACTTGAAATTAAAATTGGGGGAGAGGATGATTTCAATGGAGGTCCACTATTACAAGATTTTTAGGTTCTAATGTCTCAGGGAATGATATCTGAGTTTCCAGAATCTTAGGGACTTAATGTGGTAAGGTTCAGAGTCTTTCAAGGGACAAGTCACTTAAAGGTTTAATCTCGCAAGATTCCAATTTTGTAAGGTTACAAACTTCCAATGCCCTATACTCTGAGGTCCCTACATCCCCATGCTCTGAGCTTCCAAGGGTCTAAATCTCTGGAAGTCCTAATCTCTCAAGGGTTCAACTCTCTAGAAACCCCAATCTCCCAAGGGTACAACTCTCTAGAAATCTCAATCTCCCAAGAGTCCAAATCTCTGGAAGTTCCAATCTCTCAAGGGTCTAAATCTCTAGAAGTCCCAATCTCTCAAGGGTCCAACTCTCTAGAAGTCCCAATCTCTCAAGGGTCCAACCCTCTAGAAACCCCAAGCTCCCAAGGGTCCAAATCTCTGGAGATCCCAATCTCTCAAAGCTCCAACTCTCTGGAGATCCCAATCTCTCAAGGGTCCAACTCTCTAGAAACCCCAAACTCCCAAGGGTCCAACTCTCTGGAGATCCCAATCTCTCAAGGGTCCAACTCTCTAGAAACCCCAAACTCCCAAGGGTCCAAATCTCTAGAAGTCCCAATCTCTCAAGGGTCCAACTCTCTAGAAGCCCCAATCTCCCAAGGGTCCAACTCTCTAGAAGTCCCAATCTCTCAAGGGTCCAACTCTCTAGAAACCCCAAT